TAGTGTAGCATAAGTGCATAGTAATGTCCTAGGCCATCACATTCACTTACCACTCACTCACTGACTCACCCAGAGCAACTTTCTGTACTGCAAGCTTCACTCATGGCGAGTGCCCTATACAGGTGTACCATATTTTAAAAATCTTTTATGCTGTATTTTTACTGTACCTTTTATATGTTTAGACATACAAGTACTTGCCATTGTGTTATAATTGCCTACAGTATTCAGTATAATAACACGCTGTACAGGTTGGTAGCCCAGAAGCAATAAGCTATATACCACATAGCCTAGGTGTATAGTAGCTACACCATTCAGGTCTACGTATGCACACTCTATGATGTTCACATCGTGACAAAATCACCTAACAGCACAGTTCTCAAAACATCCCCACTGTTAAGTGATACATGACTATATATACTATACCTTGTTCCAATATCAAGCCAGCTGCCATAATCCTTGACCAAGAAGAAAAAATGCTGAAAAATAAAATGAAATATGGCTCCATTAAAAACAAAGGTAGTTAGATTCGGTCTAAAACCAAAGTTGTTTTTGGATTGTATGTTACAGATTTCTGACCCTTCAGAACAACTCTCTGGACTGGAATCAACAAAAATATTCCATTTACTGAAATTTTTGCTCAGATTAAAATGAGCAATAGTCTAAAATCCAGAAACAGAATTATCATTCAATCAAATGGACACAAAAGTGATATCTGTGAATAACTAGAAATAAAGAAGAACCAGCCAACTTTTGTAAAAGACACTAAATAATACCAAAGATGTTAGTGAAAGAAGCTATATCATCCATTCATCAACAAATATTTACTGACTGACTACCATGTGCTGATAAATTCCCCCTCACAAGGCATATGATCTAGTGAGTGATTCAGCCAAATTATCAGGCATGTGCGTAGGCGTGTGCGTGTGCGTGTGAGAGAGAGAGAGAGCATGCACATGTATGCACAAGAAAGGAATAAGTATTCTCATTAGAAAACACAGGCAATTATGGGAGCACAGAGGAAGGGGTACATACACTGTCTGGGGTAAAAGGGAAGGCCTCCCAATGAAAGGTGAAATCTAAGTGAAAATCAGGAGTCAGATGACAGAGGGGGTTGCGGGGACAGAAGTGTCTGGCAGAGGGTATAGCCTATATAAACATCGAGAGTCCAGATACAGCTTGGTAGGTTCAAAGTAAGGCTAGTGTAGAGAAAACAAGGAGAGAGAGGGGAGAGATGATGCCAGTCAAGTAAGCAGAAGCTAGATCAAAAATGGCTTTGCAAGTTAAAAATTAAGCAATCTGACCCTTTATATAAAATTAATCAGAGATTAACATGTCTTGCTTATTTGCCATTTTGTGAGCAAAAATTAAAGTGGCTTTGTTCTTACATTATGTGTGGTCAATTTCAGAATATATTGGATATGCAGTTCAATATAACACCAAAAATGCTTTTATCTAAATTGAGCAACTAGGAATCTGATTGGGAAGTTACCCTTATTGGTGTCTGTAGTCACTGGTAGCATGGGATGTTATATGGTAAAGGATTAACCTTACCCCAAAAGAGCTCTGGCCTTTGTTCTCAGCTCCTGGGAGGTGATTTCTTGGTCCTTGGAATGTCATTCCTGGTAGAAGTTCTGTCTGGGGCCTTGGCCACCAGACAGTCTTAACAATTGATTTATGATTGGGGCTTTGAGACATGTGGTATCGTTTCTACTCGGGAAGGACTGAAGATTAAAGGTCAGCTGTGTGAGCAGTATGTGATCAAGCCCCCATAAAAAGTCTGGACACCAAAGCTCAGGTAAGCCTGGCTGGCAATACTCTGTGTGTGTTGTTGCATATCAATACAGGGAGAGTAATGCTGTCTTGACTTCACAGTGAGAAAACAACAGATGCTCTGCATTTGGTGTCCTCCTGGACTCCACCCCATGCGTCTCTTCCCTTGGCTGATTTTAATCTGTATCACTTCACTGTAATAAACCATAACTGTGAATATAACAGCGTTCAGTGAATTCTGTGAATCCTTCTAGTTAATTATTGAACCTGAGGGTGGTTCTCGGACTCCCTAAACTTGCAGACATAAAATACATTCTTCTTTTTGTTAACGCTCCTCACTCAGAACTCATTTATTATAGCTACATGTTGATAACATCTTCCCAACTGAAAAGCTGTATTTCCTTTTTCTTCCCTTCCCTCCCTCCCTTTTTTTCTTTCTTTTTTAATCTGAGAGAAGGGTTAAAAATCAACATTTCAATCAGAAAATGAAATATTATCTAAATCTAAAGTTAGCTTTTTCTGTTAATTTCTTTTGAAAAGTTCATTTCAGATACAAAGCAACAAGGAATACTAGGTATAAAATGACAGATTTGAATAAATCAAGTATTAAGGCTTTTGACACCTTAAGAAGAGTACTCTTACTGCATAATAACTAATATAAAAAGTAATTAATATGTGTAAATTATGCCAGCACTTAGAACTCAGTATCTAAAGATTTCACATACAGAAACACATTCATATTTCTCTTGATTAAATTAACTCAGCACTTAAGTTTCTCAATCTTATTCATACTGATTATCCAATAATGCCTTACCAAAGCCATGGTGTCTGATATGATGAGAACGATGAGAAAAAGGCTGGAAAAAAAATTTTTTAATTACATATAACAGGCACATTTTTCAAGCACATTAAAATCCAAGTGAGAATAATCAAATAACCCAACATTCTGTTAGTATTTTTGCTTCTCAAAATATTACTTTCAACAAGAGTTCTTTTCACATGATCATGGGTGACCGTCCCTCAGATGAGCTGCAGTTAAAAAATGTATTAGAAAACTATACATCTGAAAAAGGACTAATATCCAGACTCTACAAGGAACTCAAATGAATCAGCAAGAAAGAAAAAAATAACCCCATTAAAAAGTGGGCAAAAGACATGAACAGGCATTTTTCAAAAGAAAATATATAAATGGCCAACAAACATATGAGAAAATGCTCAACATCAGTAATCAGGGAAATGCAAATTAAAACCACAATGCGATACCACCTTACCTCTGTCAGAATGGCCATTGATAAAAAGTCAAAAAAAAAAATAGATGTTGGTGCTGATGAGGTCAAAAGGGAATGCTTATACACTGTTGGTGGGACTGTAAATTAGAACAACCTCTATGGAAAACAGTATGGAGATTCCTGAAAGACCCGAAAGTAGACCTAACATTCAATCCAGAAATCCCAATACTGGGGATCTACCCAAAGGAAAAGAAGTCATTAGATCAAAAAGACACACGCACTCATATGTTTATTGCAACAGAATTCACAATTGCAAAGATATGTAATCAACCTAAGAGCCCATCAACTAATGAATGGATAAAGAAAATGTGGGGTGTGTGTGTGTGTACGTGTTTGTGTATACCACAGGGGAGCTAAGTGATGGGTATACGTGGTCATACAAAGTAGTATAATAGACTTCAGAGACTCAGAAGTGAGGAGGGTGGCTAAGGGGGTGAGAGATCAAAAATTACCCATCAGGTACAATGTATACTATTCAGGTGATGGGTATACTAAAAGCCGTGATTTCACCACTATACAATTCATTCATGGATCAAAAAACCACTTGTACCCCTAAATATATTGAAATAAAAAAAAAAGTTATTCAATACTCTGAATATTTATTGCAGTGGAATGAATGGGACATGAATTAAGATTTTTTAAATTAAACTTTGAGATAATTGTAGTCTCACATGCAATTGCAAGAAATAATGCAGAGGGATACCATGTATGGGATGGCAATGGCCATCCAGCACAACCTTCCACCCAAAGCATGAATGCCCAAAGTAACAATCCCAATAAAGGCATTGTGTAGCACTAGTTTTAGTGGTTCCAGTAACAGAATCCA